GAAGAAACGCCAGTCATACACATTTTTTTTTCGCGCATGCTCTCACAAGGCAAGAAAACTGAAAACGCTTCCGCGTAGACATGAGACAACTTATGTTAACTATGTTAGCGGTTAAAATAATCTAAAAGTGATATTGCAAATGCGAAGGATTTCTTAGCGAACTTCGGCGACATTGAGCGTATCTATCTATCTATCTATCTATCTATCTATCTATCTATCTATCTATCTATCTATCTATCTATCTATCTATCTATCTATCTGTCTGTCTCTCTGTCTGTCTGTCTGTCTGTCTATCTGTCTGTCTGTCTGTCTATCTATCTATCTATCTATCTATCTATCTATCTATCTATCTATCTATCTATCTATCTATCTATCTATCTATCTATCTATCTATCTATCTATCTATCTATCTATCTATCTATCTATCTATCTATCTATCTATCTATCTAATCTAGCCGCCTACGACTTTTAGCTCTCTGTCACAAACCGAGCGCTCAAAAAGGGCGCTCCGCCGAATTCTCGTGACGAAGCGCCGAGAGGTCAACAATAAAAAAAGAAATCAAGCATCCAAAGACTCCCCGGGCGCGCGTCCTTCTCCCCTCGGAAGCGTCGGTTCGCCGACGAACCTCCTCTCATCGGCGCCCGAGCAAGCCCTCGAATGTTTTAGATGGAAAGGGGCGGGGTGATGCCGGATTGCGTCATCCGTCGCGGACGGCCTTCGAACCGTCTCGCCCTCTCCCCAGCCTTCGCTGCGTATCGCGCCGACGAAATGATGAGAACTTTCTGGAATCTCGCGCGGAAGGTGTTTAATCGAGCAGCCGAGATGGGAGATGAGGAGAAGACGGAAGTTAGCGCCAGAGCGCGTAGGGTATCCCGCCGTGTAGTCGGCGAAGGTTTTGTCTGTAGCGACAAAGCAGGAGAAGAATAAGATTTCCACCTGAGGGGTGAAGGCTCGAGCTACAGGCAAGAGCGTGTGTCTACCGCTATCGAGCGAAGACGCGTGGCAACAGCTGCGTGTGTGAAGCCGACGTGTTTCCGGCAAAGAAGGTTGCAGCTTGGAGAGTGGCCAAGTGAAGACGCGAGGTTTCCTAGATGAGAAACTTAGGGGGCAGTCGAGGTTTCCTGGAGGAGAAACTTCAGGGGGCAGCGGAACGACAACAACGCTGGACTTTGAGTGAGTGATTCTCGGAAGAGTATCATTCGGACTTTTGTTCCAAAGACTTTGGACTGAGTAGGTTTTCTATCTCTTTAGTCTTTAAGGGTCTTGGTTGTTCAATGCATGCGACTGCATTGTAGTGCGTATTGTTGTCTGTGTCCGTTGTTTCGAGTGTGGCTGATTGTACTGTGTAGTACGTTGTTTGATTGGTGACATATTGTACTCAACTATTGTGGAGTGTGCATACTTGTGTATTGTTTTGATCTGCCATTATTGAGAATATAATTTTGTTTTGTTTATCAACTCTCGGCTCTGACTTGTTCTTTGGGCCACAGCCGGCGTCCTCTGGCGCGCCAAATAGGACCACTTCTAAATTGTTCACGCTTTCGTGCTGCGGTTCAGGGGGCCGATACCTCGGCCCTTGGAATTAGCCCGGCGATCGCCTTCCAAATTAACGGGACTCGTGACACTCTCCTGGCCGTTTCAATAATGATATCGAAACCAAACTTGTTATAGCATAACTTGACTGTATGACGAGTGTTAATAGTCATAACATGAAAGTCATCACATGTATGCCATGAAAGTAATGATTTACATTTCATGGTATTGCTGCTGTCGCAGTGGTTTCGTTCACAAGACATGTTGCAAAACTGGTATGGTATGACTTGACTGCATGCGAACGCAAGTGACAGACCCTAACTTAGAAATGATAATATGCTTGTCATGTAAGTCATGAGTCATGACTACACGTCACGCTCATGGCGCGCTCGCGGTCGTTCCGCTAGCTTCACGTATACGAAATTTGGTATTACGAGACGTGAATGCATGACGACAGTATATGACTCATGCAAACATGATAGTCATGAGATGCATGTCATCTTAGAACATGACCACTTGCCACGCTATGATGCGCTCACGGTCGTTTTGCTAGCTTCACATACAGCAAGTTTGGTATTACGGGACGTGAGTGAATGACGAAGGTATATATATGACTGGTGCAAACATGATAATCATGGGAGGCGTGTCATGTAAGAACATGACTACATGTCACACTCAAGGCACCAATACACTTCGACGGAACACGGCGCGCGTGCGCGCCGGCGTTCGTTTTGTCGAGTCACGAGGGTGGTGCCTCGCTATAGGTGCCGATCTGTCTGCCTACTCGCAGGGGCGCGTCGGGGTGCGCTGCTTAGACACATGCGCGTTTGAGCGCGGCCGGCGTCTTTCTGTCACGAAGAGACGCAGACACAGTGCTGTCTGGGTAACGTCGATGGTGCCAAATGCACTAAGTCTCATTTCGCGCCGGTTGCCACCGGGCCGCGCCGACGAGCGCTGGTCGTGCCTGGCGTCAGACTATAGAGTGCTCGCGTTTCGCTAACGCAGCGTCGCTGTGCCCAGCGTTCACGTGCGTCAACGTTACGTCGGAGTGTGTTGGCACATTAGTGATGCACTCGTGGCCGTTTCTATAGCTCCACATATACCAAATTTGGAATCAGGTGACGTGAATAGACGACGAAGGTAAAGGCACGTTCAAACATATTATTCATGACACGGAAGTCATGTACGGCATAATTTACCTCCGCCTCGTAGCGTTGTGCTCATTTTAAAGTGACCTATCAACCTTACTCTTTCGTGCTTCGCATACTTTAAAGTCCTAGTGTACGTGGGATCTGCCAATTTTTTTGAAGTGTGAATACACTTTATAAGCGACCCCAAACCACCCACCGCCGTCGGCGGCGTCCGCAGTCTTCTCTCTATCTTTAAAAGAAAGAGGACTTGGCGGGCCGCAGCGCGACGCTCTACCGGATAAGCCACGGACGCGACGCTGATATCGGTGTCAGTAACGCGCCTTATACCCCCTCCCCCTTCGCTCGCTCCTCCGCTCTCCTCGCTCGCTGCATCTGCGCGCGCACCCCTCTCTCTCGCGCGCCCGCCTTCTCTCTCAGTCTCCCGTCGAGAGCGGGTCGTGCGATGGATGTCCCGGAGGCAACGCTACCATCTGGATATAAGGCGCGTTACTGACACCGATATCAGCGTCGCCAACGGATTTTAACTTTACTCCCCCTCATAGCATCACCCCGTGCATTCGCACTTAACTATGTTCACCCTCGGGGAAATGCTTGGGAGTTTTTTTTTCATTATCATAGAGGGCGATTGACGGCTGCTGTTTTGAGCTACCGTTTGCATTCTGTGAGCTTCGAATACTTTTCTTGTCAGCCGGTTGCGGTGAGGTAACAGAACCCTCGTTTTGGAAAAATCTGCAGTGTGCTCGCACTGTTCCGGCAGTGCACGGCCCAGTTTGTCAAAAATACCGCCACTGCTAAAGGCCATGACGCGCGCCTGGTGTAACTTTCTCTTGTGCCAAAGCTCTGTTCTCATCTTTGAGTTTGTCGGTACGCTGAAAGAGAGAAAGCAATAGAGGTTTTCAAGCAATCCCAGAATGCTCCGAAAGCGCGCAGAGCACTATGGGAAGTGTGTGGGCAGAGCGAGGGGACTGTTCCGACACGCACGCTGCTTGTGCGCCGTGCGAGCACGAAAGGAAAGCAACGTCTCGCCGCTTGCTGAATCTTATTAACATCAGATATGTCCGAACACACCTGCATATATCTCCACTCATGAAATATGAATGCAATAATGAAGCATGTGTAGGTATCACTGACCTAATGTGGTTCGAATGCATACAGTTGAGTGGCACGCGAGTTGTTTCGTACTGATACGTGTAGTCAAAACGTCCTAGGAATCAGAGCTGCAACACCGAATTCATATTTAGTCAATGATTAACTGTTCTCAAGGCGCTAGGGGATGATTTATTACCTTGGTGGCGTGGTTGGGACGGTAACGCGAAACTGCAAAGAAGGTACATAATTATTTGATTTTTATTGACAATTCACCCTATATAACAACTGAGAAAAGTATACACATTCTAAACATCGTCAAGCGTAGGGCAAAACTTGGAACTGACTATACTTTTTTTGTACTAGCAGTGCTCTCCTTACTTCTTTATATTCTTTTTTAATCCCTATTTCCTTATTCCCAGTGCAGGGTAGTGAACCGGGCGCTCGTCTGGTTAACCTCCCTGCCTTTCATCTTATTGCTTTCTCCCTAAAAAATATCCTTTTTTCCCTTTATAATTTGGAAACAGTGTTGTTATGTGCATATATTCCACATTCATGCTTGACCTTTACAGTTTTGTTGTCGCTCGAAACCAGTTCGTTCGAAAAAAAGTAGCAAGTGAAATCGCATCCAGGCCAAGTCCCTCGTATGGGCTCCGCGCTTACGGTCTATTTTTATAAAGAAAGAAAACTGTACGAATGTACTAAAGCCGAAGAGCTTGTCTATACAGAGTTTTCAGGTGACTTCATACAAGTCCTCTGTGCTTGGCGCCCAATGGCAGCCGCGACTTTATATCTCATGATAGAGTGGAAAGTGCAGAGGAGGACACAGAGTCGTTCCGTCCCGGCGTTCTTTTGTATCCTTGTCGCTTTTCCTTGTTCGCTAGTCGCGTCACAGGGGAGCACAAAGAGACGCGAGGGTGCACCGGCACTAATCAGATGACACGCGAGCGACGAAGAGTTTTGCTGGCCGCGAACCGGTGCCACAACCAGCACCATTTTTGTCTCTCTGCACCGTCCGTTCGGCCACCGCAGCTGGTGCGATTTTCTCTGCGATTCGGCGTGCGGTGCGACGATGCGACTGCCGGAGTGGTGACGTTTCGTGACGTATCCTCGCGTCGCACCGCCGCTCAGCCGGTGCGGCGAGCATCAAACCGGCCAGATAATTTCGTCGCGGCATCGCACTGTCGCATGGCAGCAGCCAATCACAGCGCGATCATACGAGTGGCGTCATGATGCTATTGGCGCCATCTCCCTGTCGCCGCTCCCATCACCCGTGGTCCAAGGCTCTAGGCGACGCTATGGAGCGGTGCGAGCGTGGATTTGCTGACATTGCCGACCGCGGCGGCGTGACAAACATCGAGTACATTTCCCTGGTGACGTTATATTATTCCGGATTGAATAAAGTGATGCTTGAAGTGTGCCTTTTCTGCACGACAACGCCTGTTTTGAAACCGCCAGTGAGATCGGAGATCGTGAGCAGCGATGCAAGGTCATTTCGCAGGTAAACACAGCTACCGGCGTCTCTGCGCTGGCTCGCTTCGCTTCCACCTTTTCTCTTCACATCGATGGTATCGATAAAGTAATAATGTATGCTAACGCATTATTACATACGAGCGCAATGCTTGATAGCGTTGTCAAAAACAAGCGCTCGATGACGAGCTCACGTGTGAACGGCGTAGGCGACGGCCGGCGCCCGCCATGCTAGGCCTACTTGTCGGAGTCGTGAATAATCAGCTGTTACCGCTGTTGCGACATGCTTGTCGTTCACGAACGCGATTTAGTAATTATTTTTGTGGAACGACGCGTGGCTGTGCATTGTTGTTTGTCTTGAGCCTAATTACGAGGATACCAAGTCGTTCGACCCTGCATGCCGAGGCGCCGCATGGGGGCGGAGCCTGCCGCTGATAGCTCCTTCGCCCTCGTGTGTCCCGAAACGTCGCATGCGGCACGCCGCAGCATGCGATGCCGCACGCCGCATCGCACGGAAAATCGCACGTCTGTTTCGCGCTTTACCGTGTTTAGCTTGCACGGCTCGTGAGAGGCCAATGTGCTTCTTATTCTTTTACGCCGTAAAGCAGTTGCGCTGCCGCAAATCTAAATATTATACGAGAACACATATTTGCCGACGAGTTCTTAGGTTTTTACAGTTGTCAAAAAAAAAAAAATCTCCCACAAACCGAAAATTTTGCGCGTGATCTCGCCGCATTGACACAAATGCAACCCAATACTATCCAGGCCGTCTGCAAACCCATCGCATGATAAAGGAATCTAGAAGGCGTTAGTCTAAACTTACATTAGAATCTCAATGCCGCAAAACCGGCAGATACGAATTCGTGAAATTTCCCAGCCAAAGTCCACGATGTCCAATGTTCCGAACACTTTTCCTTATCGCGGCTGGTCGTATGAATTTTAGTGCCGAAATCGTCGAACCGATTAAGACCGAGATCCGCGTGCTCGAAGCTTCGGATGGACGCGCGCGGCCAGCGCACGCACTGCCAGAACTGTGGTAACCGTTTGCTGCAACCACTGTGGAAGAAACCGCGGTTGCTGTTAACGCGATCGTGTATGGCGACGACGACAGAACTCCGAAAGTATACGCGCGTCCAACGTTCGACCAGTCGAAGTGACCTCGCTCGCTTTTTTTCAAACGCCGCGGACAAAACCGCAGTAGATGTAACCATAGATAGCAAAAAAAAAAAAAACCCGACTCGAAGACACGTGCGCCGCGAGCGCCCGCGGATCAAAAACGGAACTACCGTATTCTGCAGTCGTCACGCGTGAAAACGCGGTTGCGGCGACGTTATCATCTATAGAGGCTTCTAACCGAGGGTACGTGGCTAACGCAGAGGTTTATTAAAGGCAATAAATGCGTTAGAAAGGCTAGAAGCCCTTTGGCGTTCCTGTCCAAGAAATCTAGTAACATATGCTGTTCCTGTCGATCTGCGTGCTACTCAGATGGTCTCAAGTGAAGCTACGGCCAGTGCTTTCACAGCAGCCGGCTGTGCGTCCGTTCCCGTTCCCGGGAAGACATACGCGAGTTCTTTTGACAAAAATCGATTTTGCTAGCTCTTTTGGACGACGCGAAATTTCGGGAGATACTAGTATTTTCGCCCCCCCCCCCCCCAAATACTCGCACCTTGTATTGTAGTTTAAAAATGCTCCTACATCACCGAAAGGAATCGTGAAGAAATTCGAATGCATTTCTTGCGCCGAGAGAGCTTAGCGTTGCCGTCAGACCTTTGCCTTTACCGACTTCTGCCATCACTCTGAGAGGCGCCCAGTCAGCGAACAGTCGAGAGTGAGGCGTAAGCGGACAGGAGAGTGGGGTGCAGGGAGGACAGTGAGTGAACGGCGAGAGAAGGAGTGGCGAAGCGCTGCACTTACCCTCTCCTACATTCTCTCGCACCGCATGCCCCGGTTGCTAGGGGCGAGGATAAGCGGAGAGATAACATCTGCCAGCGCGCGGACAACGTCGGATGCCTGACATCGCCCGACTGAGAAATGCATTCGCGTTTAAAACACCATCCTCATGTGTTCGGCCGCTCCGATTCATTATAATACCCCAACGCCCCCCCCCCCCCCCCGCCGATTTTTGCAAAATAGGGGTAAATAAACGTGACCCACCCCCCAAGGCGCAGAAACCTCCCGGGTTCAAAATCCTTGAATTTTGCAGGTATAAGAACTGGTCGACAGTCTACCATGGTGCTCCCAATGGGCCACAAAAATCAGGTAGACATTCGAATTACAGCTGAACGTCCACTTCCGGAGCCGGTTATCTAAGGCTCAATACCCAAAGCCATTGCATTTCGGTTGTTCTTTCATTCCGTTTAGTTTTTTTGTCTGGAATATCCGAGGGATATGTACAAAGGATTTCATGCGGACGCAATAATTTGGACAGCAGATGAACCTTCACGAGATATCCTAAAAAAAAAACAAAACCTTAAATATTTTTTGAGACAGTAAAAACAGTTATATACATCTTGGTCTAAAAGAAGATCTAAAACAGACATTTTCAAAACAGAATAGTGCCTTAAATGTGCTCGCTTGCAGTTTATTAGTATTTTTTAACAATTCTCCAACGTAGCCTGATCTGCCAAACAAGGTCATAATGTGTACCCCAAGACATCATTCCGTTCAACATCCACCTCAATGATTATGAGAAGGTTGTGTCGAGAAAGTGCCAAAACGCCCAAACGTCATGTCAAAAGAGCGGTGACCGTCGGTTTTACTAACAAATGACGCAATCGCTAATAATTTCCCCAAAATAATTTACTTGACACCACAAGCACGAATGTACAGCTGCCTATTTTTTTAACTAGAACGTGCGATCACCAACTGCCGAGTTATTAATTACCCATTTCCGCTCTCCCATTGTCTGGATCCCAGAATAGCCTAGGAGGCGACAGCTGAAGACTTTTAACAGCGTGCGTGCTCGTATTTTCGTTACATAGTTTTGCCGCTGTGCTCAGTTGATAATGCTCTCATAGTCTGGGCGGTCAACGCTAGCGTGTTTATGTTGAAAAAAAATTGGGTGGCTGTGTGTGCGTGTGGTGTATTCTATTCAAGCCGACATGCTTGTATAACGACGCTTGCAGCACCAAGCTCGCACAACTGTGATTGATACAATAACGGGTGCGACACTTGAGAACAGTGCAGGCACTCATTGGCGCACACGCCAGCTTGCATCAGCTTCGGGCACTCCGTGGCTTCGGCCTAGCAGTTACGCAGTACCATGTCACGCATATTGGAACTTGCACGACTGTGTTTTTTTATCGAGCGGCCATGAAGCTTGTCTTCCAGGGATCTCTATCGAACGTATAAATGTCCAAAACTGGCATTCCAGTGGATATCCACCGGATTTTGGTGGTCCATTGGGGTGTGTTTGGCTGTGATGGCAACTATCAAAAGCACAAAAGGCTGGCAGCCGGGACGTACGCGAGGTGCACCTTCATTCTAAACTACTTTACTTAGTTCACAGGCCTTCTCCTCCTACAAATACATTATTATGTTTGGAGTCTGTCTTTCCACTATTTCTTCATTACACCAGTTTGGGAATCTGGTTGGGTGCTGGTACACTTCATTATCTGCAGCAAACAGAAGCAATGCTAAAGCTGACCGTTAATACAGAAAATGCTTTGCCCACATTAACATCCCCCATTTCTATGCAACAGCATATGAGTCGACGACCAATACCATGCTCACGTGAGTGGTGGTTGCGATTCGCTTGCACTTTACTCGCACCTTGCAGATGGTCCCAACATGAAGCAGCGGGGCCGGGCCAGAGGCGAGGCGAGCTGAGTGTCAATGGCAACGAGCTCTCGCCAATGGTTCATTCGAACCCATCGGGAAATCGTGAGAGATATCCGGTGATGGCATCAATCAAGACTGCCAGGAAGTTCACCTTTTTCCCGTCTGGATGGAATATGACACCTCTCGATGGGTTGGAGCACGTGTCTGATCGGGCAAAACGTTGTGGTTGGTTCCCCCACGGGCAAGGAACGGCGCAGGGTTGCGCCAAAGGCTCACCCACTTTGTCACAGTAGAAGCTGCAGGGACAGTTGAAATGAGCGTTTTCAAGGATAAGTGGTAGTGAAGTGAATGAATGAATGATCCACAAAGATGGGGGAGGGGCAGGGTGTGGGTGGAGGGAGGTGTTGAGTGTTCCAAGACGAGGAGGACAAAGTGGTTTCCTTGTCCGATTTCTTTGCTTGGCAGAAAGCTGCTCTCCCTCTCCCACGCAAGTGGTTTGCTTTGCGGCTGGTGCTCCTGTGGAGGCGGTGGTTTATTTTTGACTGGACGAGTGTCGAAGATAGCTCCGAAGAAGATGCCGAGATGGCGGCATCTTTTTGTGTGCCTTTTGTGCGTGCGTTTTCCACGTCTTCATCAAGGACCTTACGGTAGTGAGACCTGAGGTGAAGAAGCTCCATGGTACTGAATGCCTGATGACACGGCCGTGTTGCTTTTGTATTGCTTGTCTTGCTTCATTTGTAAGCTGTCATGCAGCTCTATGCGCAATGTATTGAGTGTGGTAAACGTTTTCTAGCAGATTCACTAGTTCGGTCAGGCTTCAATCCTAACTGTTTTATAACTTTGGATTGTGTGATAACACCATCATTAAATGCAAGAACAATATCTGATGTTCCAAATCTTAACACTTTGAACCTAAACAAAGACTTTGTGATGCAATTCCTATTAACTCTGCACTTGCACCAGGCAGTTCACATGTGCTATTCGGTCTAATTGCATCACAAATGATTGTCATGTCCATTAGAGCATACCCATTGTCACCTTAGGCATGATTCGCCTTGAAGGACGCCAAAAAGGCTGAGAGGTTCACTGATGAAGAGCTTGATGGTTGAGTGTTCAGCGCCTCAGTACATCACTGACATTTATTCACATTTACAAAAGAACTGTATTGGTTGCCACGAAATGCTTGCTTGCTGAAGACCTTCTTTGCCCTCAGAATCTAAAGTTACAGACAAGCACGACAAACACAAGGTGTAATTAAGCTAGGAGGTAAAGTTGTTCGATATGATGTGCTTTGATGATAAAGAGCAGATATAAAAGCACACATTGTCTCTGGATGGTTTTATAGAAGTTACCTGACGATTTACTATGCACAGTTGACTCTAGACAAGCATTTTGACTTTAGTAGATTGTTTTCTGCGCTACATGCTTAAAAAACTCGCGACTTAAAAAACTCACTACTTGCTTTAAAAAAGTGCTTTTCAGCCACAAAAACGTTCTTCAAGAAAAGCATGAATGTGAAAAATATGTGCAAAGGGACACCGTTCCCAAATTGCAAAGAACAAAACAAATATTTTTTGAACTTTGCCCTAATTAGTGCCTTTAAATAATGTCAGTTATGCAAAAATTTCAATTTTCATGTGAAAGGGCTCCTAAACCACCCAAAGGTAAAAATTCTGTGGTGGGGAGGAAGTTGTGCACTAATGTATGATGAACACAGAGCTGTGAGGATTTTTCAAAGCAGTTCCATAATAGCAGAGTTAGACGCTTTTAATTATCAAAATGCTGCTTTTGTTTTTCCTTCGCTACCCTCTGCTGGTATTTTCTCTCAAAGCTGCTTTGCCCTCCTGCCAAGCGCCACTCTCTGAGTGTTTCTCTTTCCATCACTCGAGTTTTTTTTTGTTTTTCCTCCTAAATTTTAACCCTCCCATTTTTTTATCTCCTCTTCTATCTCTCCTCTTTCACCTTAGTTTCTTTTCTCAACTGTCACTGCCCTCAGTGCCTGTTCCGTTGCGAGTGTTTCAATAGAGGGGTCCTCACATTAGACAGTTATCGTGCACTCTACACCCGATTTTCTTACTTTTCTGTCTTTTCCTAAAGAATCACTCCACCCCCTCCCATTCTGGCGTGGCATGCAGGAGCATATGCGGGCGTGCGTGGCTAGGAGAATGTGTGCTGCAGGGAGGTGGCGCGTGTGGGCAACACATCAACCAACAAGGAGTGTGGCCTGCATACTAACCCTTTGCTCGACCAATTGCAGCATGCATGCGCTGCTCATCAGATTCAACTTTTCAACGTCACATGGTGGCAGAAAAGGCCTGGGGAGGAAGAGGGATTGTTTCTTTGAATTGGCACGTCGACAACTCGTAGCGCTGTCACGTCCAGCATAGTTGATTGTGACTGTTTTGTTAGTTTTATTTAAACTGCCAATAATACACTGGGCTTTCATTAAAGGGGATGAATGGAATTTTATAGGCGTTTGAGTACAGGAACAGGTGTAGCTACATAGAGATAGGAATGCAGAGTGAATGTTCAGAGGCGGGGGAGCACGCAACTTAATATTTCAGTTCGGAGTTCGCAGAGGAGGAGGAGATTAACACATAAGGAAGCAGAGAATCCCGAAAGAGCGTGTGACTTGACATTGCTGGCGATGGCTGCACCATCTCTGGATCCTTCTTATAATATCCTTCTCTTTTTGAAGACAATCAGTTATCCCGACAATAAAATTTTCGAGCCTCGTTGGAAGCTGTATGGTTCTTCTAGTGCCAGTAGAAGTATCAATCTGCTTCGGTTGATCTGCTGCTCTAGTTGACTGATTGATTTCAGAGTTTTGTTCTGGGGAAGGGCTTGTCCTGATGAATACTTGGTTCATGCTCAAGATTCTGTCCCTAGTCTGAATTTCATGCGACCTTTTGTCAACATTATTGACTATTGCGTCTTTTACCCATGCTCCACTTTTCGTTGGTCGAACTGTGACATTCTGACTTTCTCGTAGGCTCGTTAAATCGTTCGCTTGTCTGTCGTCGTACGTGATTTTTCACCCCTTCTGTTTTCTTCGACTGTTTTGGGTTTCAGTAGCTCTGAAGCTGTTGGTACAGTCGGTCTAGCATAGCAACTCATTAGCATTCAGTTCTTGCAATGGCGTATTTCTGTAATCAAGAAATGCCATTTGTGAGTCTGAGTGGCCTTAATTTGTTTTTTTTAGGAGCATTTTCGTCGTCTCGATGGCTGATTCAGCCACTACATTGGCATGCAGGTAACCAGGGTTTGACATTTTGTGTTCAAAATTCCAGCTGTTCATGAACTTCATGAAATATTTGCTGGTGAATTGTGGTACGTTGTGGCTTACTAGGATTTTTTGTTTGCCGTACCTTGAAAATTGACTTTAGTTTCAGTATTACTTGGCTTGATGTCACTGATTTCAGCTGGTCCACTTCCCAAAAGTTGCTGTAATTATAGACTGTAACCAGAAAATGATTTCCCTTAAGTTCGAAGATGTCACATCCGACTCATTCCTATGAATAGTTGATAGAGAGCTTCTCTTTGCCGAGCATGTGCGTGTTTTGGCATATCTCACACCTCATGATGAAGTTTTTGAATTTTGCATTCATCCCTGTCCAGAAGACGTATTCGCAAGCAAGTCGTAAACAGATTCCGATTCCCATATGCGATGAGTGAAGTTTCGCTTTCATTTAGTCTCGCAAAGACATCTGAACGATAAGACATAATTCCTTGAAAATCAGGTTGTCCTCAACAGTGAACTCATCTCTGAACGTGAAGTACGCATGCATGTCTTTCGTCAGTTCACGTTTGTCTTGTGGCCAGCCTGACAGGATGATTGACTTTAGCATTTGCTGTGAGTCATCTCATTCAGTTACAACTGTAAACTTTTCCAAGGTTTCCTTTCTCACAGGGATGTAGTGTGCAACATTGGCACTCTGAATTTCTTGCTCATCACTTTCATTGGCAAAAAAAAGCACGAGATATTGTATTAGCCGAGACATGTTCTTTGCCTCGTCTGTGTTCAACTGTGATGTATCTTTGCGTCTGAAGGATCATGCCATCTGGGAAATTGATCTAGTCGTTTTTCAGGATTACTTGCAGTGGTTTATGATCACTGATTATCTTCGCTCCTCTTCCAAATGTATCCTTATGAAACTTGTTTAAGGAAAGGACTGTGGCCAGCATTTCCTTTTCTATTTGTGCAAAACGAACTTCCGTTGATGTCATTTCTCTGCTGACGAAGGAAACTAGCTGTCCATATTGAAGAAAAGCTGCTCCTAGTACACGATCGCTGGCATCCCACTGGATTCATTGCTGCTTGTGTGGATCGAAGTAGGCTAGAACTAGAGCTCTTGTCACGAACACTTTTTGTCTTTTCCAATGCCTCTTCTTGCTACTTCCCCCAGTGCCATTGCGCATCTTTGACGGTGAGTTTCCTCAATAGCCTAATACACATGAAATTTTGAGCATGAATTGAGAGAAGTAGTTCATACCACAGAAACGCTGCACTCCTTGGCGATCAATGAGCTTTGGATTCTGGTGAATTGCCTTGACCTTATTTGGATCAACTTTGAGTCCCTCATTGGTCAGTACGCGACTAAGGACCACGACTCCTCAGGTTCGAAGTTGTGTTTTATCCTTGTTGAGACTAATGCCAATTAGTCGGCATTTGTAAAGTATGTTTTCTAACTACTTGTGGTGGTCCACTTGAGCATCTTTCACTCTCGCCCACTCAAAAGAGAAGAATGTCATCTGCGATGAAGAGAACACCGGCCAAACCTTCAAGTGCCACTTGAAGTTTTTTGGAATACTTCAGTGCTTACCGTGAGTCTCCACCGCAGTTGGAGCCACTGGTAACGACCTTTCAGAGTTCGGAAAGTAGTCAGCAAACTAGATTCGTCATCAAATGAGCATTGCCAGTAACCCTCTCGCAAGCCCAGTTTTGAGAAAATTTTGGCTTTTGTAAGATCGGGTAGAACATCATCGAGAATAGACAAGGTGTGATGCTCTCGCTCGAGAGTCTTGTCGAGCGATGGACGAATTTCTTACTGCATGCACTGACTCTGTGTTTTTTTGTTTTTTTTTTTGAAGTACCCTTTTGAAGTGCTTTCATTTGAATTGCTGATGCTTCATGGGCACAAAACACCTTTCCAACCTTCTCAAGTGTCGGATCATCTAACTTGAGGATGTCTGCACGAGCCTTTTCGTCGTAGATGCCACAGACG